AGTTTGTATTGCTTCCACTGAGGACACAAACAGGTTTTCCCATGATTACCCAAAGACTGCTGTACAAGTCATAGGAAGCATAAGAGTCATCTCTAAGAGATAGATGTTTCAGCTCTGCTGAAACACAACCAAAAACACGCATGAGAACTAAAACTCTGTACAAACATTAGTTGCAAACATGTTGACACAGCTGCTTCAACAACTTTATGGAAGTGTTCAACTTTCAGGCAGTTTTTCTAGAACTACAGTTCTAGACATCTCAATTGTGTGCTGCACTTTATATCTTTGCTTAGTGCAACACAGGAATGAGAGAATACTTAGAAGTATCTGAGAAACTATTATCTTAGAGAGGACAGGATGAAATCTACAAAATGAAGCAAGACATCCTGTTAGCTTTAGTCTTATGGAAACAGGTGTTAGAGACAGAAATGTGATCCTTCCTCTACATGAGTTTCCATCACAGTACTGTAGACTAGACTACAGTACTTTGGATTGTATTCTAGACTGCAAAAACCTAGACTGCCTAAGAAATTTTTAAAGGGGTCATACAGACACAAGTTGAAGATTTTACTCCATGAGCCTATAATGCTGACCATAAAGAAAACACCACCACAATGTGACAGAGAGTTGCCAACCACAAGACAAACAAGAACCCAGATTTTTTTGAAAAAGGTATGTAAAGAGGATCAGACTTTCAACAAATATGTAAGCTCCACAGTGGCAGCTGGATTAAGTGTGGAAAAAATGCCACGTAACAGTGATCAGCAGGATGTCCTAAAGTGGACTTACTCTTTATCTTCAAGCAGAGATGATAAAAGGCAGTAGGAATTTATGAAGTCTTCAAGTGCAGAGCACCTGTCTCCTTGTACTAAACGTAAAAATATTACCAGTTTCACAGCTCATACACAGGTCTTTGAATGTGAAATACAGTCCCAGGCTAGGTCTCTAAGCATATCCTGCCTCACTTTCTAGACAAAACAAGCATTTGCTAAACTGTAAATGAAATCCATATACAAGCATTACTGGTAGTTCAAACACAGTTAGGGAGACAAGAAATCTAGCCTATTCATGAACAGGTTCTCTTTTAAAGAAAAAAAACTTTTGCATTTTATGAGAATATGATTATTTTAATAAGAGAACAGTATGGGAGCTTTGAAGCCAAGAAAACAAACACTTGTCCAATTTAAGACATCTGAGTTAGCTGCTTTCTGAAATTAAGGAGTCTATATTCCATGAGTTTCAGATTAGATAACAATGCCACAAACACATTGAAAACTGGGAGATTATTCCACAATGTGCAAATTAAGCATTAATCTTCCACATGTGCAATTGAAATTGTACTAAAGACAGTGGGAGTTAAAAGAATGCATTTTTTTAAGGAGACTACAGTCACATTTTTACCTATATTCAAGTTTCAGAAAAGTAGGTCTACAAAATGTTTACTATACCATGGTCTCTTACTTTTTAAGCGCTAGCTATTACTGTTTCTTGTATTTTTTAAAAAGATGATAAATCCATCTATCTTGTGCAAGCAGAAAGCATTACTCTTTAAAGTGCTTGACCAGGGGCATCTTCAGCAACTAAATTTAATTCCATTTTATCCCCTTCCCTAACATACTGAATACTTTTAGCTTATTTTTTGTAACCACACATGCTTAACATTAGGTTACAAAAAAGGTTATCATTATATAATAAATAGTACCTCTTCTGCCTTTAAATATGTAGAAGCGCTAAAACTAAACTAAACAGCTATCTTAAATGGCACACTGGAATTCAGTTACGTTTCTTTGTTGAGACCAGGATCTCCTACCTATTGTACAAGCACAATTAATTTACACGGTAGTTTTGCAATTTGCATTGACATACATTTGCATTAGTCAAAAGCACGTAAGAGTTAACCCAGACTCCAAGATATCTAGGCACGATGACTCATTCCTGACAGATTCACTGGTTAGCAAGTGAAGATAAAGTGACATTCATGACCCACTTATCAGATGCTGTTGTCAGTGGGATTCTCACATGTAGAGAGACTCTTGTTCAGCACTCTAGAATATTCAATACTACCAACATTTAATTTATTTACCTTCAGTAAAACAACAGAACTGCAATCAGCTATTTTAATTCTTATTGATAACACTTGAAATGGTTTTCTGCTACTACAGAAAGCAGACTTTCATCTGCTAATGCTGTCCCAACAGAAAGTTCTGCCCATGAAGTGCATGCTTGGGAGATGACCATCAGGAACCTTCACATATCAGCTTTCTCCTTTATTCACAAGTAAATCTCTAGCTAAAAATCAATAAAATAATCAGGACTTGCACTTCAAACTGCTCACATGAAATTAGTAAATGAACTTCAGGGTGCCTCCTTCCCCTCAAACAGGTTTTCAGAGGAAAAAAACAAGGAAGGCCTTCAAGTTCAACTCCTCTCAATACTGAAGTGTTCAGACAGCTTCAAGGAAACAGAGCACTTTCACCTCTAGTGGGGCCTGCCCATGGCAGGGAGGTTGGAATGAGATGCTTATTAAGGTACCATCCAACTGAAACCATTCTGTGATTCTATGATAATGCAGGTGCACTTCAGCGTTGCAGATGTGATCACAGAGAGAGTACTAAATAACAGGGTGGGAGATAACTTGGTTTAAATTCACTGGATACTAATGAGTATTTGGGTCAAGATGACAGTGACTGGCCATAATCTCTCTGTATTGTAACACATGGCCATGGCAACCCAGTGATCCTGGTAGGAATAACTCTCTCAGGAAAGGACCAGTGATCCTGGTAGGAGTAACTCTCTGGCTTTCTGGACAGAACTGTGGTTTCTAACTGGGCACAGCTACAGAGATCATACTTCACACACAGCCCCAGGGGATGCTCTTTAGAGCAAAAAAGTTGATCTCTGTCCCAGTGGTCTGTGGTTACTTCCTTCCTGTTGTTGGTCTTGCCCACCAGTGACAGTGGCCATGGAGTGAAACACAGTCTTTGACATCAAGCTTGCAGGATGGTACCACTCCCAGCCAAGGATAGGACTGGATTGGCCCACATGTGTTGCCACCAAACTCCACTGTGTTTGCAAACAAGGAGGCACAGAGTGGTGGAGACACAAGCCGTAACAGACCTTGGTGATACTGTAAGTGTAGAAGTGTGTTTCAACTTCTATGCTACCCTAACCTTATAATTTAAAGATACTTACCAAGTAACTAGCACTCATTACAGTTAATTTAAGAAGGACAAAAAAAATTATTACATTTTAACAGAGGAATTAAACCAATAAAAATCTGAAATTCATGTCACATGTCTTCCTTCACAAAACCTTGTAACAATCCCCATTCCGAATTTAGAAGGAAAATAAAAATTTGCTTTGCAAAACTCTCTGATGAAAACCTGAAAATGAGTAATAGCAGGACTAAAAGTCAAGAGCTTTCTCCTAAGCCTGTACAAACACAAAGTTATCATGCTCTAATGCTACTTAAATCAGAAGTATTGTTACCAATGCAGTTACAAGATCAGACACTGTACTTCTCAATCTCACTTATAATACTAAAACATTTTGGAACAAGACTGATGCAGCATTTTTGCTGGCAGTTGAAAGTGTATCTCAAAGCTGAGGAGCTGCTCTCTGATAAAGTAGAAAAACTATCTCCAATGATTTCAGCTCTGGAGTTCTCTGCTACTCAGAATGTAATTTAAATTCAGGATCCTTCTCTGGCATCACTTCATTGTATATAGAAAACATCACACCTTGAAACAAGCGCTCTACAATTAAGTTCAGCTCCATTACCAGGTCTGGAGTCTTTTGAAACTATGTAGCAGCAATGGTATGCTTCTGGCATATAGAACATCAGACCCATCATGTAAGGAAGTAGACAATTTGAACATTGATCATGAAGATCTTGAGGGTTATTTCTGTGGGCCTGAAGTAGCAGCCTCTGAGGTTATTCCTAAGCAACTTTGATAAGGAAGTTAAACATGCTAAACATGTGAGATACACAAGACAGAGACAATTTGAACTGTCTCTGTCTTGAATAGCCATCCCATTATGAAGTACCAGTTACATCTTTCCACTCCCAGAACAAGACGTCAGGAAACATCTACAGAAGGGACCTTTTGTTTCAAAGCATTGAAGTCATTACCTACAAAGAAAACAGGCTTGTTTTCTCCATCAGCCAGATTTCACCTGAAGAGAGCAAGCTGTGGCATCAGCCCTATCTGGTTTCTTTGGCATCCTCAGGAACACTCAGTAATCTTCACACTGAAGAGCAAAGATTGCTTGAAGGTTTGGTCAGGCAAGATCAACTAAAAGCAGTGATTTCAATACCCCAGACTACCATGCTGGAGGAGGGTGCTTCACAGATCTACCCATTCCACTACCTAATGTCTTAAGAACAAGTCATCTGCTGTGGGAAGATCTGCTGTTTTTTCAGAGCCATAGAGGACACAAACAACACTCAGCCAACAGAAGTCAGCCAGAGACTGCTCAATAAGAAGGAAGCCACAGAGAATAAACTGATTCAAGTGTGCATCCTAAAGAAACTGTTCAAGTGCTGCAATTCAAAAGCAGCTTCACCTGTGAAGTAAGATAATCTGCCCTTTTTCCAAGATACAAGCTTCATTACCTGCATCTCTAAGCAGAAGTAGCTTTGCATCAACAAGCACTAAAGTCTAACTTCAGTGAGGTTAGATTAAAATTCAAGGAAACTTTGTATAAACAATCTGCTTTTCCACATGTGAATCTTTCTTCCTAGTACTCTGAAGCCCAGGTTTAAGTGTCCTGTTTTAGCATTTATAGCATTCAAAGTAACTGAATTTAAATGCAAATAAATATGCTTAATTTTGGGGTATATAATTAAAAAATTATTAATGTAAGTTCCTTCATTGGTTCCTAACCAGCACTGGCTCCTTCTGCCTTTATTCCATTACTTAAAAGAATTGCTATATACCATCAGAGAGTTTGCTGCTTGGAAAAATGAAAAGATACAGAAAACTCCAAAACCAACATACCTGTTATTTTGTCCCTAACAAGCTTGCAGGATTCTATCTCCCCAATGCTGCCAAAAAGACTCTTCAGTTCCTCTTGTGTCATGTTTTGTGGAAGGTAGTTGACTATTAAATTGGTCTTGCTGTCTTCTGTGTTCCCAGAATCAACTGGTGATGGGCAATTGTTTATGGTGGCTGAACCATGGGCTGTGTTATTACAAGTTGGTCCATTAGACAGTTGTGTTTCCATGGCAGCAATTACCTGCTGAAAAGAACAGAAAACAAAAACCATCTAAATTCGTATTTCAGAATCTAGTAAGAGAGTCCAAACAAGAACCTAAAAGACCTGTCAACTATACAGAAATGGTACTGCCAAGGCCATATTCTGCCTCTACATGCAAGAAAAAACCCAAACACCAGTAAAGAAGGGCATTAAACTGTTAGTCAAGACAATACTACAATACTTTAAAACTCTGTAATAAATAAACTGTATCTTCTACAAGCCCACTAAATTAAATCAGCACTCAAAGCTTAGTTCCATCCTCTGCCATTCTTCCAATTTAGGGGAATTACAGCCTTTCTATTATAGAAGCTACCAAACAAAACTGGCCTGTTGCAAGAGTAATAATTTCTGTCAACTTACAACTGGTTACTGAAATAACATGAAGTAGCATTGGAATATTTTCAAAAAGAGGTGGGCATTAACTGTATCCAAAGAATATTTCTTGTAAGAAATAGCAGAGATCATGATTAGTGTTTTAAATAGATACTTAGAGGATATATGAATGTGCAAGGATGGAAATTATACTCTTCTTTAACAACATCCATTGTCAAACTTTTTTCACCACCTGATTCAGTTGGAATCACCAACTGATTCCACCAGGTTGGAACCATGTTTCTATATGCTTTTATTTGACGAAACTGGCAATTTCTCATTATTATTTCTTCCCTCGCCTGAACTCTGAGAACAGTTAAATTTGAATCTTGAACTTAATTTACTTCTGGACCACTCCAGAACTATTCTGTGCCTGGGAGATCACAGAACAGATCCTCCTAGAACCTCTGCTAAGGCAGACAGAGAACAGGAAGTGATCTGAGACAGTCAACATGGCTTCACCAAGGCCAAGTCCTGTCTGACCAACTGGCCTTTCTGTGATGAAGTGACTCCATCAGTGGACAAGGGAAGGGCTACAGATGTTATCTATCTAGACTTATGTAAAACCTTTGACACAATCCCCATCATTATCTCTAAAATGGAGAGTATCTATGTGTGCACTAATAGATAGATAAGAAAGGGATTGGACGGTTTCATCTAGAGGTGGTAGCCAATAGCTCAGTCGACAGATATCAGTGACAAGTGTTGTCCCTTAGGGTCCATACTGGGACCAGTGCTATTCAATGTCTTCACTAGTAACACAGACAAATGGATCAAGAGCAACCTCTTCAAGCTTGCTGATGACCCCAAGGTAAAGCATGCTGCTGACATTCTTGAAGTTCAGGATGTCATCCAGAGGGACCTGGACAGGCTTGAAAAGTGGGACCATGGAAATCTCATGAGGTTTAAAAAGACCATATTCAAGGTGCTGCACATGGGTCAGGACACTCCCAGTATCAACAAAGGCTGGGGGATGAACAAATCAAGAGTAGCCCTGTGAGCAGGACTGGGGGGTGCTGGTGGGTGAGAGGCTGGACATGACCTAGCCATGGGCACTGCCAGCCCAGAAAGCCAAACATGTCCTGGGCTGCAGCCAAAGCAGTGTGGCCAGCAGGGGAGGGAGGGGATTCTGCCCCTCTACTCTGCTCTGGTGAGACCCCACCTGGAACTGCATCCAGCTCTGGGGTCCCAACACAGGAAGTTGGGAGTGAGTCCAGAGGATGGCCTGGATTAGAGGGACAGAGCACGTCTGCTCTGACAAAATGCTGGGAGAATCAGGTTTACTCAGCCTAGAAAAGAAATTACTTTGGGGTAGCCTAATTGTGGCCTTTTAGTACCTGAAAGGATTTTACAAGAAACACAGAAAGACATTTTTGAAGAGCATGTAGTGACAGGACAAAGAGGAAGAATGTCTTCCAATTGAAAGAGAGTAGGTTTAGACTACCTATTAGGAAGATATTCTTTACTGTGCAGGTGGCAAGGCCCTTGCCCAGAGAGGCTGTGGATGCCCCATCCCTTGAAATATTCAAGGTCAGGTCGGATGGAGCTTAGAGCAACTTAATTTAGTGGAAGATGTCCTTGTTCACAGCAAGTGGATTAGAGACTTTCAACTCAAACCAGTCTGATTCTACTGTGTCTCATCCCAAAGTGACTGTGTGACTGCAAGATGCAACAGAAATAATTAGGAGTCTGCTTGTACCTAAGCACTTGTCCACAAGCTGCCACATCTACAAAAGGCACTCTACCTGCTCAGTCAGTGACTGAATGGTAACAGCTAGTAAATACAATGGATTTTTAATGGCATCTTAATATCTAAGATTTGGACAGCCTACCCTGTTTGAGACCAACTGTTTAGGACAACATGCAAGAGAAAATGATGTACATTAATTCTCCAGTAATACATATTTCAATACAAGAAGTTCACTAAAGAAATCCATCAATCGCTGAAATTTAACCTCATAATTAAACTGCTAAGAGGAGCTCTCACAAAAAAAGCCTCTTGTAAAATCACAGAGCAGCATTAGGACCTTTGAAGGGTCTGTCCTAACAGTCCTGTTTAAAACACCATATGCAATCAGTGCATATACAAACAGCTAATGAGGTCAGCTGTGTTCAGGGACTGCTGAATAACTGAATTTCCTAATAACCAAAAGGGGATTAATTTGAGTTTCTTACTAGAAGTCCAACTTTGACATTCCTGGGAATAGATTTCTATGTTCTGTGTTCTGCATACAGTAGTATTTTCCAAGAGGTTACTTCAGCACAATGCAAAAAAAGGGATACATCTATTAGGAGCACTCATTAGAAAAGTATGATCTAGTTTTCCTGAAGAGCTGCAACTAGAACAATGTTTTCTTCCCTTGTGACAAACTCCAATGAGTAACCTGCTTCTGACAGTGATGAAATAAGTCCACTAAAAAGATGATAAAGTATCCCAATTAAGATAAATTACTTTTCAAAACACTAGCATACCTGTTAAAGGTAGTAGTCACAAATGCTGTGCTCTGAGGCTCTGTTACAATGGCCTTTTTCCTTTTCTTCGTGTTTTATTCTCAAATTTGAAATGTTCATTGAGCAAAATTAGCAGGATTTAGCAAGGACAACAAACAATTCTCTCTTAATTGCACATTTATTTTCACTTTCAGGTGGCAATTATAGGATCCTAAGCCAACATTCAAGTGAACAGCTGCAGTAGCCTGTGTGTGCTGAAAATTATACCATCTCTCAGCTATAGAACCATCTGCTCTGAAAGAAGTGATACTAATGTTTTACAAATAATGCATACCCCACTAACTAGGCTAAAGAGAACTGTTCATAAAAGACAAAGCACTAAATATTTTTCACTCAGAAAAATATTTCGAGATAAATTTACAGTTTAAAAAATTCTTAGAATAGACTGGCAAATAAAATTTTAAAATATTAATCACAAAAACACAACTATATAGGTTTTCAAAGTTACTGCAATTTAGTATTCAGACCATACCAAAACCATTTTAGTACAATACTCCTCTTCAATTAACACTGTGTATTTTCAATTAGTACTAAAATATAATTGACATTAGAAGAAAGGCAAGCCACTGCAGTGTAATTTCTACAGGAGATCACCATTTTACAGAAAAATTTATGTCTTGTTATTCCAGTGTGCTCTGGGCTCTCACAGAATAGGAACACAACCTACAGCCTATAATGAAACATATATGTGAGTTAGCATTCCAAATGGAAGGTTAAAAGACTTTGGTATGGCCTCAGCACTATTAACATGTAAAAAAGTAGCCTACAGAATTTAAGAAAAGTCCCACAGACCCCAGTCCAAGGCTCTGCTGCCCACGAACCACTTCTAAGCAGAGAAGCCACATCACACAGTCTGACTGCCATGTTAGTTTGGAGTTGCCGTCTGCAATATGGACACAAAAAGTACTATATGTTAGATTAACAAGATAATGCAACAAATCAGTTTGCACAAATTTACAGTAATTGCATTTATATTCCCAGCACGTCCATGCAGTGTGGCTTAATTGGATTTTAGGCAATTCCAATCTAATATTAACAAATTCAGTTGTAAAATTATTTTTCTTATGTGAAATAAGATGCTTATTTTTAAGACTTAAAAGATAATGCAGTCTAGTTACCCCTGCATCTACTCTGGAAAGTACCTTCAGTACCACACTATGCCTAAAAGAAACTATATCGCAAAACAAATCTTTAAATCTTCAAGACTGAAGAGGAAAGAAAGAAAATACAGTACAGTGAGCTTATTTTCCATCAGCACATAAAAATGATCATGCACCACAGCTCCCTTTACATGTCTTTCCCAGCCCACAGGAAAAGAAAATACACAAAGATGACAAAGTACTATATTAGAATTAATTCCATTCTTAAAATCCTAGGTTTTAAAAATTAGTTAAATGAAAATCTTGTGCAGATGGTATTCACTAAGCTTCCTTGCAACAGCTGTTTAAAAGTACCACTGCACATACAAGTGGAAGTAAATTCAAGGATTTATCAAGTGGAATAACTGGAACAAAACATTCAAGTGATTTTCATGAGAGTATTTCTGGTAACCAAGAAGACTGTTCTTTAACTAAAACATTACTGAAAATCCAATTAGAATTACATTGAACAATGCTAGGAGGATACCACAAAAGCTAATAGGCCATTTGCAGATGATTACAGGTAGTCCACATGTGACATACAACCACAACAGGAACAGAAAGACTCCTGACCACTGCCACAGCTTGAGACTGCTGTTAGTAAAGGGATCCTTCTTGACAACAATTAGCAGATGAGGTAAGTCTAAACTTGAAAAAAAAAAAAGTTTCAGAAGGCTGCTGCATTCAGAGTTTATAAATAAGTACTTCAAAACTTTTTTGTTTTAAAATGGTACAAGTTACTCTTCAGGTCAGTTTGCTACCAAAATCCTGCTTAGCTGACTTAATGTCTGGTCTTTATTTCTAATTTATGTTAATTATGACCTTCAATCACCTTTTTATGCAAAATACTGAGGCTTTGATATCCAGTGCAAGTTTGTATGCCATTCTTTGTGGTCTCAACCCAAAACTAACACTAACAACTTCATAGGCAAATATATTTGATGAACTGCTTACTACATGAATAAAATCTGTCGCTCTCAAATGATTTCTTTCAAGTTCAGACAAGCCTCATTAAGAAGACTGCTTTCAAATAGCAGGCTCCAACATTCTTGTCCTACAGAGACTATAGTGATGTGCACAACATGATGTATTTGGATCTCTATGGCTCTCAGCAAAACAGTGTGACCCCAGAGATTATTTGCTTCCAGTGAACCACACACTAGATAGAAAACTTCAATAGAACAGCTTACTTGCTTGTACAGGACTTCAGTGTACTAACTGGAGACTTCACAGTTCTCTTAAGCACTGCAGCATTTCTCAAAAAAAAGCCAAGAGCACCTGTCAGTTGAAGTACTTCCAGCTTGCATAACACATTTAGCTTCATTGAAGCATTCTATACAGTACTTGCAATCAGTGTGCAAGCTAGTTTTCAGACTAAAAAAACCCATTATGTCTTAAAAACTTGTTTCACTCTACTGGTTCTTCTACCATTTTTATTACTTTCAAGTCTGTACAGACTGCTCTCTTACATCTCATTTGGAAAACTGGCTTTTTTTAGCGTTTTATTTACACTTCTATCTGACCTAAAAAGAGTATTAATATGGCTAATTACATTCTAGGAAAAAAATAGAAAGCTTTCTGAAATGAGTTTTCAGCTTTAACACTGTACTAAACCAGCATCTTAACACAGCATTTGAGCTGTGAGTTTTCTTCTGCCCTCCCCCAAAATATTTTTAAAATACTGAACTACTGAAGTACCATTAAAAAAAGCTAATTCAGTTTTCGACTATTAGCCTCAGAGACAGTATTACACTTCAGGTTATTAAAACAGCTTAGAAGTTACTGCAATCAAAACCTATAAAATCATTATGTTCAAGAAACAGGGTTCTATACCTACTAAGGAAGATTTTGTCTTAAAATAGATTAAGAGGAGAACAATAAAGTCAAGTTGACTGAGTAAATCTGCTCTCTTTATAATGCTGAATGAAAGAAAGAAAAATTAAAGACACAGTTGTTCAGTTCAGCAAAGTGCCTCTCTCTAACATGCAGTCCATAGCAGCCATCTATCTTTCAATAAACTTACTTTTACTTCACCAAGCACAGGTAGAATTTTAAACCCGAACATTCTTAAACACTTTTTACGGCATTAACTGAATGCCAGTTTCTAATTAGCAGCAGTTCAAGCAAGTCATGAGTAAGGTTTGCCTAGCAGAGAAGCAAGTAGGCTTTTTTTGCTTTTCAAGAGAAAAGATATCAGAAGTTCAAAAGCCATATGGTTTATGCAATTAGTTCTGGTTGCCATAGAACAGTTCCAATTATAACAGCAGCTTTTTATATAAGCGCTTTAGAAAAAACAGTAGAGCTAGCAAGATGAAGACTCGCTACACAATAGTCACAGTGGCCTACTAACTTTCCATTCAATGTAGGTATTTTGGCATGCAATATACTCAACAGTTCATGCTCAGCTGAAAATGCAAGCTGAGGCTGGATCCCAGCAGTGCTGAGATAGAATCAAGGAGGTGACAAAACAGATAAATCTTCAACCACCTCACATGCATACAGATGCTAGGGAGAAACGTTTAGTGTGTCAGACTTCTGACTAAAGTCTGTCTACCACCTGTTTTAATTCATACTTGTGCATCCTGGTCATTGCTGGGTGGGAAATCATTTCACATGGGTTTTATATACATAATTTAATTATACTTATAGACACTGCACAGAAAAAAATCATTGCACACATGCCTGCCACAATTACATTATATACTTCTAAATAGTATTATCACATAAAAGTGATTGCACTCTGAATTTAAGACAGCACATACTAAACACATCTGCTTACTTCAATATGTTATCATATTGACCATGAGATGCTGCCAGCCTCAAAGGTTACAGCTGATACAATGCCCTTGATAAAGCCATAAGAGATGTAAATGTGCTCCTGAAGATTCTCCTCAAGGCTTACATACCAGAAAACCCTCAGAGCCTGCTTTAGTACTTTGTGCAATGGAACTATGCAATAGATAGGACACATTACTACTTGGACAAGCAAATATTGCAGAATTAGTTTTCATAATACCAAACTGCACAACAAGAACCACCTCTGGCTATACACATTGCTCTTTATCTCTTCCAGACAAAAAGGTCTAAACCAAAACTTTGTTCTCTGCTTGTAATGAAGTTGCACTCTTTCCAGAGGATTTATTCCACCAGCTTTGACTTATAACAGTAATCAATGCATTTTAACAAGGGTAAGCTATTTCTTTTCGATGGGGACTATTGCTAAACATGTCAAATTAAAAAAAAAATATCTTAATTATTTGAGGCCTCACTGAAAGGTAAGACCTGGCATAATACAGATGCTGAATTTTGCTTTAAAAAGCCCAACTCAGCAGAACAAATTTTTTTTAGGTATTAAAATTTTAAGTGCAGAGGTATTGATACTTGGAATAGATCCAATTCTTCATGCTTTCTCTTTAGTGATTTTTATCTTTACCGGAGTGTTAATTTGAAGGAGTCCTTTTTTGCAAATGGTCAAGTATCTTAGAAGCATATACAAAAGCACATTACTAATTTTTGCACACACAAAATAGCTGTACAATAAGAGATGACAGAGATTGTTCCATCTAGCATATGGAAAAACTATTACATAGCTTGCTTGAACATCCCAGGTCCTTTACAGGTAAACACACACAAAAGGCAGAGGCATGTCTTTAGTTAACATGTCTTTAGTTTGCCTGTCAGAAAAAAAACCTACTCACTCTTAGTTTCCCTATAAGAAGGATAGATGTCAATAAGCACTTAATGATTGTTCTGAAATCCACATATTAACAGCATGTCTTGTGCTTGGTGAGTCTGCACAAACAGGCTAAACAATGCTTGTTTCTTTGTCTCTGTTTTCACTTTTTGTTTAATAGTATAAACCACTATTTCTCCATTAGCAGCCCTCCTCACCTACACGTACATTCATTTGCTGTTCCCTCCATTACACTATTAAAGAATCTGCAACACAAACTAGATCAGGGTATTGCTTGGTGAGAACTCATTCAACTCAGGAGAAGAAACCAGTAGAACGCCTGTTGATTTATGCTAAATTATATGGAAGAACTGTGATACAATAGATGAAAGATAGAAAACTTCACAGAAAACTTAGAATTTTTCTGATAATGAGGTGGTTTCAAATCTTAAACTAACTTTAAAAGTTACTAATGTAAACACAGGCATAAGACCAGAAAGCACGAGCCCTTTAAAACAATAAAAACCAATTTCTAGCCTCTCAAAAGTGGCAGTTTAGAAGGAGAACCTTTTCACAAACTCTTCAATGAATCACTAAAGAAGTAATACCACTTAACATTTCTATATCTTGGCCTCAAAGTCACGATGAGTTGAAATAAGTGAATAAAATGAAGATGGTTATAAAAAAAAAAGTCTCATGAATTTTAGGGAAAAGGATTGTAATTCACCCCCGTGACTGATGCTGCAGAAGTTAATCTGCAGAAGCTTTCTACAGGAAAGAAGGCTTGCCTATTCCAGGTAAGCAATGAGAAGACAACTGAAAAACTGCGGACATGAACAATAAACAGCTATTAGTAGAGATATGAAAGAACTTAATATTGCTGCTGACAACACTAAAACGGACAGAAGCAAGAAAGTGTAAATTATCTATGGAATGTAAATATTTGTAGGAACATGAAAAATGTATACATAGATTAAAAGAAAACGTCTTCACTCAGTATGAAATGCTTTTGGAAACTCTTAACATTTCTGCAAAATACTTAAGAGTATTAGGATACTCTAAACAGTGCCCTACTAAAGCTACTATGCATTAGGAATGAACACAACAACTTGTAAGGAGTTCTGAAAAAATAAGGTGTGTACAACAAGGCAAGAACATTGCTTAGCAATGGACTAATCTACATAAAAAATGTATCTCTTCTGACTGAAATTACTGATTATCCTATCAGCTGGGGTAAGGGAAGGGAAACATACAGGGTAACTTATCCTAGAACCCATATTAGAAAGACCAACTCTAACAGTCTTCTGTAAAGAAAACAAGCACCTCCATTCCATCAAGGGATCAGTTCAAGTGAGACCCCAATAAATGATAACCATTTTTACGTTTCTAATTATTCAGTTCAATTTAAACACACAACCACTTGTATCAATATAACAAATTTCCTGAGCAAGAGAGTATCAACATGCATTACTAATCAGCTCATATAGAAGGAAAAACCCCCAAAACTCGGCGCAAAATTATACCTTTTCCTTGTATTGCCCTCCTTCATATTAAAAAAACTTCAAAGCTAGCTAAGGGAAAATTATTACTTTGGTTACTAAATATCAAGTTGGGACTGTTTGAACACAGCTGGCTGTCAGAACACGGTATTTATGTTCAGAAAGAGTTTCACCAAAATGATGAACACAAATGATGAATACAAAATCACGAACAGCTATTCAGATCTCAAATAAATAAGCTCTGAACAATTGCAATACTTAAATCATACTTTAAATAAGACTGACTTTGAACAGGAATGATTTTTCAACTGCACTCTACTAGCCACAAAATCTTGCCAACTACATTTATTGCTCTTATTTGCTGTCCCAGTCTCCTATGTTAGTTCTCCCAGCCTTGTAACAAAATGCTTCCCAAGGCAATATGGCTCTGTCAAAACACATATGTATTCTTCAAGAGGTAACTGCATCTTATTGCAGACATTTTCCTTCAGCCTTAGACATCTGCAGTCCTCTCAAGCCTACTAACACAAGAAAACAGAAGATTCAGTAGGGCAAAAGGAGACAACTTGATGACACTTCAAATATTAGAAACTTGATAGGCTGAAGAGTTTCAAAGTCAACATCCACTTGAACTGGCTAGGATGCCTACTTCAATTTTTCAGCATTTACCTCAGCATTCCAGTTGGGCCATGTAAAATTTGCCGTCCTTTCGTACTGCAGTTGCATCCTTCATCCCCACTGCCAATTTCAAAAGCTTATGTTTACCAACATAGAGGAACAGGAAGCAAACCAAGTTAGTCTGGCTGAAGAGGCACACTAACCAAAAAAATACAAGTAAGAAAAAGACACTCTTCCAATCAAGAAAGTATGTGTCACCTTCAAGGCCACACACAACTCCATTTACTCTTTGGTGCATCTTCCTGAAGGACAATATGGTTTTGTCCCTTGTGCACTCAACTGTCTTCACTGCCACAGAGGATGGATGACAGGATTCATCTTCCAGGATAAGGGTGACAAGGTTACAGGAACAAGTCTCATGTGCTGACTTTTCATGGCAGTACTCCTTGCTCAATGCTCAGTGGTAAACTGAGAGAGATAGTGGTGTGTTTTGGGCCTACCTATCACAGACATTCCATCAGAGTGTACACTTCAGCAGATCCCCAGGGCATGAACCCAGCATCCTGCATCACAGTTAACCCTTCAAACTGCAGGACCTCTCCTCAGGAGAGTTTTTGCTCTCTCACAGGGTATTTTTAGCTGAAACACGATCTAGACAAGAGAAAAGTTGTATCCTACCTAAATATCCCTACCCCTTAAACCTTCATGCATACTACTAGTTAGCACAAAAAATGACATCCTCAACACCATACAAAGACAGGGAAAATACAAGCAGCTCAAAGTCAGAAATTAGTAATCACCATGCCTCTCCCTTCCTCTATACCCATCTTTACAAGTACTATCAAAGTGATATCAGGCTGGACAACAATATACTGCTTACACACTTAGATGTCTCCATAAGCCCAGATCATCAGTGGCCCGACAGACTGACATGTCATAGCATCCCTCTTTCAGCTCCAAAAGTCATGACAAGCAAAGCTTATGTGCAACACAAAATTGAATTCAAATCAAACTGAAGCATGCACCATTATGTACACATAGAATCAAGTAATTTTTGCACTGGAAACATTAATTCTTCCACTGAGGAAACCTTCTGGGGGAGAAGAGATCTTCATAACGACAACAGCTCAATTAGCAACACAGGGGAAGATGCACTGGGATTTGCCAGTATGTGCCTTCCAGGAGATATGACAGCAAACAAACTACCTAAACAGCCTTGGACATGATGACTAAAATTGCTTAAATGGCCTAGGATCACATCTTAGAGGTTAAGTATTATCCAAATAATAAATACTTGCTTTCATTGTTTGGTGAAGGGCCTCAAAGTACCATGGAAAGCAAAGAACAGGGACTTGTGGCAACAACTGACTTGACCGTTTTCTTCCCCCCACAGCTGGGCCTGAGGGGTTGGAAGAACAGAGAACTGTTCAAACGGAAACATTTTCAGTCAGCATACTCTGCCCTCTTCAGTCAAGACGAGATGAGATTTGTAACCTACAGTTAGAAGGCTTCTATTCTATGACTTCTTTAAAGAAGATTCCAAATTAGGAAGAGTGAAGACATCAACAAGCCATTTTTGTTAACAACCCATAGTGAGCTAGCATGAAAACACATGGCCAAGGCCAGTTTACTCTCAAAATCTACTGTGGATAAAGACTGACTATTCAGTCTCCGAGAAGTGTTCTTAGTGGTCTCAAGTCAATAATCACATTTAGTTATATAACAAAGCTTATCTGGAGCTATGATTTGTCCCATCCTGCCACACCTGTAGTAGGCAGTCACTGGAATAGGTTCTTTGAAAGCAGTACAAAGGCTTCCTATACCAGATGAACATAACTTTTATTTCTTAATCCTGATATACCACGAGTAATGAATAATGCAATATAGATATAACATGACAGATCCATATGCTGTGCTGTCTTGTGCGCAGAAATTTTTATTTCTATAATCCAATTAAAAATGCAGAGCAATGAATATTTAAAAGATTCACTAGTTTAAAATACTCTTGCTCTTGCTTTCAGTCACCACAGAAACCTTGCCCAGGTCTTAAGGTTTCTGACCTCTGGGGATGGGGATTCTTGCACAAACATGAATTCAAGAACAGAGAAGCAAAAATTTCAGAACCCCTTGTTAAAACTGTCAATAATTTAATATATCACCATTAATACTGGTAATCAGATTTTCTTACTATTTTGGCCATAAATATGAAGTTTCTGGGACCACTTGGGTTCCACATGCTCTAGTTCTTTCTTCTAACCTTTTCGTCATGGCAAGTTGTATCTAGTTTGTCTCCCACTCCCAGGTTCCTCCAGTAGTCCAAGTACCATTGAACTATGTATCACTAAACTGCCTTAATATAGCTTTGCTCCTTACATAGGCTAACCCACATATTTTGACTGTCATGCTTTATTCTTTCACTTATTATTCTATGCTGTGTCTTAGACCCAAACCTATTAAAACTACAATTTGTGTAGTGGACATTTCTATCATCTGTGTCTTAGCATTATATATACACGTATTTCTGAAATCTAACAACAAAATCTAGATCAAGCCATTTGCTTTCCAATTAGTTTCAAAAAGATAATTTCATCACTTAGATACTTATTGCTGCATTAAAAAAAAACCTGAGGTTAATACCCCCTTCAACACAAAACTAATTATATGCCTAATTCCATAGCAAGAGAAACATAGCCACAGAAGTATGCCACTATAATAGAGCTCCCAAATACTTGAACAATTTTCAAATCTTTGACAATTTATTTTATTGCCCTGTACATCTTCAAGTTTCAATATCAAAGGAAAATGAAGACAGTTGCTTGTGAAATAGATGGTAAGAAGTCTTATAAGATAGCATAAATGAAGTCAGACCAACAGCACACAGTTCTGAAAAAACTTGCCCTCTATCAATGCATATCAAGTTCTACAAAGTTGCCTGTGCCCCAAAAATCTTGCTGTAGTACACACAGGAGTATGAAGAAAAAGCTTGGAAAGGGACACATACACAACAGTAAACCAAAAAAACACTTTGAGAACATCAATAGCTGAAAAACAGCATACTGATGCCATCTGACTTAGAATATGCTTGCTTCCTATATGGGCTAACCTGCGTATTTTTATTATAATTTCACTACAGAAATGCACTGAATCTGAGGCACTGCAGAAAGCCTTCTGCTTTCACCCAGAACACAAGTCTGAGATAAGAAAGTTAAATCCTTGTTTATCTCTAACAGCCTTTTTAAGAGATTTGTTAAATCACACTATTTGTCATGGCACCCAAAGGATGACTTCTCAAGTCTTGAAGAATATCTCAAAATAAACTAGATGTATTTTATACTGCAACATAGCTCTAACATGGAGGGAAGAACCCAAGCTTGGACATTTTAGCCTTTGTTTCATAATGAAGCGGACTTCCAAAACAGGGAAGTTTCACTTCAATGAGCTGAACATTATGCATAGGCAGAGAACTGGCTGTCTCGTGTACAGAAATCAGTAAGTTAATGCAGATTTTTTCAGAAACAATATGCCTCTTCCCTCCTCACACGTTATCTTGCAAAAAAGATGACAGTGGTCTATGCTGCATCACCTAAACTACAGAGTACTTACATCTATACTTCACCAGGAAAATCAAGAATATGTTTTACAACAGCAGGAAAAAAAAAACCCAAACATCAAAGTAAGCCCTGATGACATGCTGACAAGAACTCAAGAGGCATCAGTGCTTTGGGGCAATCTGAACAAAGTGTTATAGTAAGGAATAAACCCTTGTTGGTATCAGGCATGGGGAATCACTGTGCTACTTCATATATTCCGTTAAATATATACAGAAGTCCAAAACAGTTAAAAAGATAAAAGTTACACTATTTACGTAGTTCAGTTATGTTTGTAGGAGTTGAACTCCCTTAGATGCCGTTGTCAAAAAAGTGTGGTCTAATTACCCTGTAACAGATTCCCCATATTATAAAAGCAGCAGATGAGTTTGAAGAAATCTGTGCCACTGGACGTCAGCACATTCTAGCTCTAAAACAATGTGAATCATGAAGAAGAGTATTTAGTTCACAATATTCAGTTGGACAGACTTAATTTAAGCTTTTCTGCCCACAATTCAGGTGTAGGTATTTAAAAAAACAGCGTAACTAACATGAAAACATAGGCATTTCCCACTTCTGGAAATGAAGCTGCAGTCAGGATAAGCAAAATTCGAAAGGATTTAGGTCGTATGAAGTGCTATATTGTCTCACAGCAATAAAGCTAGGACTTTTCCTTCTTCACAATGCAGGAAACTACTTTCCACCAACTTCCTAAACAAAGACCAGCACCTCTGAGTACAGCAGCCCTGGTATTAACAACTCACACATCTCAAAGATCAAAACCGTGTTTGATTGTCCCATTATACAGATACAATATTAAAGAAGACATGATTGTTAGGCTGTTTTTAAACCAACAAGTCAAACAGGATTTTCATCTACTTAATTCACTGTGCAAACATTTTATACTATTCTATATTAAATGTAACTTTCAGTCAATGTTCAACTTTTAGCCTTCAAAAGTTTATTCTTTTCTCTGATTTTGGGTAAAATACTAGAAGAGTAAGTTCCTAGAAGCATCAATAAAGAAAAAAGGAATTTAAGCTTTCTCTACCGCATAAATACTGTACACACTGCACAGTCACACGTAACCAGCAAGTCAGCTCTGCAAAACTGTTTCTCAGATAAAAGATGTCAAAGTGCTCAGATTCTGCTGAATTACAGCTCTTTTACTCTATGAAGACAGAGCAAATCAGGAGTAGCTGCCTGAGGCTAAATGCAGCTGCACCTGCAGTGAATTATTTCAATTTCTCCAGAAGAAGCCACAGCCCATAACTAGAACAGGTGCACTCTTCACTGGGTTAAGAACTGTCTGGATGGCCTGGTCCAGAGAGGGCAAAGGAGCTGGTGAAGGGTCTGGAGAGTAAGTTTGGTGAGGAGTGGATGAATGAGTTCTGGTTCATTCTGGAGAAAAGGAGTCTCAGGGGAGACCTTACCACTCTCTATAACTACCTGTAAAGTGACTGTAGCTGGGTGGGAGTCAGCCTCCTCTTCCAGGCAACTTCCAGGCAACCAGCAAAAGGACAGGAGAATATGGCCTTAAATTGGGACAGAAGAAGATTCAGATGGCACATCAGGAGGAAATGGTTCACTGAAAGGATTGTTATATACTGGAATGGGCTGCCCAGAGAGATGGCAGAGTTCATGATTGCTGCAAGTACTCAAAAAAATGACTGGATACTACAGTTTAGTTGACATGGTCATGTCTGGTCAAAGGCTGGACTCAATAACCTTGGAGGTCTTTTCCAACCTTTACAATTCTATGAATTTGTAAAAAAGAAATATTTAAATAAATCGTTTTAATCTTGTGACTGCCAATTTTCTGACACCAAAGCTCTGGAGCCTGATGTTGAAAAGACTTCTAAGATGTCAGTGTGTGGAAAGGTTGAAAAAGTTAGTCACAAAGTCTAATGTCATTTTATCTAAGGTCTATGACACTAGAAGAGTCAAGGACAAAAGGAAGCTAAGAGTGGGATACCACACAAGTAAAAGAGAGCAGCATTCTGACACTGATGATCTGCCATCAAGCATGACTTGACTGACAATGAAAATAGCTTTTAATATAGTAATTCTTCCCATTTGCAAAAATATGGACTATTGGTAACTTATCTCCCAAACTTACTGTAAATTCAAAGCACCAGAGACTACATATACTAATTATAACCTCTGCCACAGAAGCGTGTACAACTTTAGATTTTGCTTTCTTTACTCCACATTTTGAAAGGACATTCAATGGCTCTGTAAGAATTATTCTATTTGTTTACAACAGCTTATGTCTAAACTCCCTTCAGAACAAGGAAGAAGAACTGCTGAAACAGGGTCTGGCATGCATGTCTCCAAATAACCTCCACCAAACCTACAAAATCTCTCTAGGTTGCTAGAAGGTTAAGCAGCTGTAACAGAAAGGCTTGAAACAAATTCAGCCAAGTGTTAGTCTTAATTTGCTGCATTTTTCACTGGTGTAACATCAATTTATTTATTCAGTTTGTTTTTAACAGAGATCTAAAATGCATTCCACAGAGAGAAGAACAGAGAATACTGCTGTAACTGTCCCTATTAAATTCAGAGAAAATAACTTCCTTTTCTACAACATCTTTGGACAACGACAGCAGCTCTCATTTAAAGCTGTATGACAATTTCACTTAGATAACAGCTAAAAATGTTTAGTAGCAGAAAGTGCTTAAACACAGAAGGGTTCTCAACTAGCAGAGGCTGTCCTCACAATAAAGACATCCCATATGGCAATTATTTTTAGAGTGTTAAGTATCAGACGTTAGAGAAGTCACATGGTTGTCTCCAAACTACCAGTTCCTCAGCTGATTTTTATCTCTCACAGAAAGAAAAAGTAATTTGGAATTTTTAGAACTAACATAGTTCAAATTTGAAAACTGTGACACCTTCTGAGTTTGTTTAGCTTCCGTAATTACCTATTCTTTCCAGTAAGGGCCCAAAAAGAAAGCAAGCCTGTAACTTTTGACAAAAATACCTGGAACATTCAAAGCAGATCAGCTGAATTTACTTAATCTGGTTCTAATTCACCGCAGCTGCATTTAATGAACCACAACGAAAAGCTTATTACTGCAGTAAGGAACAGAGCTCAGTGGCTGAACGCCCTCCAAGCTTCCAGCAACAGCTACTGCATGAACTGTGTAGTGTAGATAAGCATACAAAGCCAACAGACAACACCACTTCCCCCTGCCTTTTTAATTTCTAGGATGTATTATCAAGAGGGTATCAGGTAGGGTATGCTACCAGATATGTTCAAACAGTTAGCTGCTAGCAGAGATTGCATTTATTCATTGATCCTTGATGTACTCACCTGCTTTAAACACTGAACAAGAGTTATACAAGCTCATATTTTAAGACTATGGCTCCATAAGGAACTTCATCCATATCCTTCTCCAAAATTTCATGTGTAACTTTTTCATGAGCAATTTTCTAGTCTCAAACAGAACAGTATGTAAAATAAATCAAAAAGCATAATGAGTAAACTGAAGTACTAAATATTACATTAAATACATTTCCTTCGCCTTCTTCCTCTTATATCAGAAAGGAGAGAGGGAACTGAGGGATGTAGTACAAGAGAAGCCTCAAAAGCTACTCAATGTTTTCAGCTTTAACTAAGACAGACTCATATCAGGTGCTTCAAAAAGCACAATCTAAGAAAAAAAAATCAGTACGATTAAAGGTCTCCCTTCCAATTCTGGTAACAGAAAAGTGACGCACTGAAAACAAAAAACATTACCAATTTATTCAACAGCTGCATTCCTGTTTCACAGAAGTATGCAGAACACATGTAAAGATTCCCAAACACACAGGGACAACAATGACTGAGAGGAAAAGCATTTTGTTCCAGGAAGTTAATAAATGACTTTTTTTTTTGTTTGTTTATGCAACAGTACAGAGAGTGTTGAGCTTTCTACTTCATTTATCAAAGAAAACCTACAATTAAGTCAACACTCTTCAGTAAACCCATCAGAAGGAAGGCAGGTAAACCTCAAGGAAAAGAGTTAACCACACATCAAGTTCTAACACACAGCAGAAGTGCTTTAAACAGCCTTCCAGAGGAAGAAACACTAATTGGAAATATCATAGGGATTTTGGAAATATCTTAGTATGCCCAAGCACTACAGGCTAAAATTAGAAAGAATGTTTCCCCCAGAATTTCTCTTGTATTTCTCTTCCCATTTTAATTTTTTCACACACTACCAAAAGCACTTAATTCACCGAGAATTTCAGAAAATACAAAAATGCTCAGTGACATCCTTCCCCACCAGTGATTTACAACACAGGTACCAACTATTTGTCCCCCTACCACGCCCACAGGGTCTAAAACCAACATTAAGTGTCAAATGAAAAAGAATGTCTGAATAGTAACCCAAAAACTAATATAAAATGGCAGAGGAGATAAAAAAATCCATAAAACCAATTCTTATTCCCAGTATTTTATAAAACAGTAAGTGGTGCAGTCTCCCAAGTGTCACATCAGTCTGTTACATTTTATTTTGATTATGCAAAATACAGATTGTTATATTTCTCTACAGAATCCATTACAGTACATGGATTAGCTATTCAGACTAACAGTACTAGCAAAGCTCTTCTCTGAGGCACTAAGAAGAGGTATAACTCTTAAGGTGAATTTCTGTATTTATTAAGACAAGGCACAGGAAAGAAGCAGCAGGAATCTTTCAAGAGAACTAAGAAAGCAGTAAGTGGTAGATGCAATTCAGCTGGCAGAGAGAGTGCACTTGAAAAGCAAGTGGAGAAAAGTGGTATAAATTGTTTTGCAAACCTATCACAATTGGATTACCTGATCCAGAATAAACTGTGCCAATGTAAACTGACCTAAGCAGATTCTGTTCACCTTAGGGAGCAATCTGCTTCTGGGACTGCTTGTTCCTACTCTGGTTTTTAGCCAAGTGTTTGTGATGCAATGATTGAACAGCATGCAACCATGGGATCTTGGGAGTTCATTAGGGAGGTAAACACTCTTATTACCACCTCTATGAAACAAACTCCTTCACTCCACGAAGCTGTGTCCCCCAAACACTCATGCTGCAGAAGACTACCAACCAGAAAGAATATGAGTCAAGTATTTCTAGCAAAACACATGTGCTCCTGAAAGCTTAAAAATAAAGGAACTGAAGCCTCAACAACTTAGCATTTTATTATAAATATTTACAGATGCATGGAGGAGAAGAGGAGGACATCTCAAAAACTGACATAAATGTTAAAGCACATTAATACAAACCAAGTAACAACAAGAAGAAATCAACAAAAGCTTCATCAGGTGAGCTCAAGGTTGCTGGGAGCCCTCTACTACACAACATCTTGACTTCCAAACCTTTCATATTTGAAAGCTTCATTTACGTTTTTCAAAAAAGCTATCAGCTATCAACCCTTATAAGCTGCTTTAACTGGGTGTGTCTCAACAGCTTGGATGAAATGGCTTCTATACATACACTGCACATCCCAACATTGTCAGTTCTACCAAGGGCCAGTCAAATCACCTAGGTTTGACTGCTTCTTTTTGGAAACCTTGACTACATGCCATACTCGTCTTCCTTCCTTTTGGAGAACTTTCTAAACTTATCACATCAACTTTGTATTCTTACTAAATTAAGAAAAAGACTAATATCCTAGTAAAGAACAACAATAATGCTTAACTCCTTTGTTTATCAAGTTCACCTGCAAAAAAAAGTGGAATTTAGCAAATTTGTCGGGTGGGATTTTTTTCCTTGTTTTGCGGTGTTAGGTTCTTTTTTTTTTGTTCTTGTTGATAGCTGAATTTGAGTTATTAGAGAAGATTAAAGAATCTACACACAGAACGCAGACAAGAGACTTTTCATTTGCAAGCCTGATTTTGCAGACTCTGTCATGTTTCAAATTCCATAGCTGCTCCAGCAATTATATGTGATGTTTCCCACAAGTTTTCCAAAGCTGACATTCAGCTCAATAAGGCATCACATACACCACCCTTAAGAACATCTGACCACCTAAACTCACACAATGATCACTCAGGGTTGGAAGTCACCTCTGGAGATCACTGGGTCCAACTGCCCTTCTCAAATAGGACTAACTAGAAGCCTGGACCATGTCCAGGGAGCTTCTGAGCGTCTTCTAACATAGGATACTCCACCACCTCTTTGCTTCATTCTGAAAAAGTCAGCACAGAAATCTACCTCAAGAAGTTGAAAAAGAGCAAGAAAATCTAGAAGTATATAAATGGATGTGAAATCCTATCCATATAAGGTGGGAGGTGATTCTTCCCATGTACTCAGCCCTAGCTGAAGCCACATCTGGAGGACTGGGTCGAGTTCTGGTTTCTTCAGTAGAAGACAGAAGAAGAGCCACCAGAAAGGGTCCAGCAGAGGTCACAAAGGTGATTTGAGGCCTGGAGCATCTCCCTCATGAGGAGAGACTGCAGGAACTGGGTCTGATCAGTCTGGAGCAGAGATGACTGAGGGGGGATCTCACTAATGTATACAAATGTCTCAAAGGCGGGTATCAAGAGGGTGGTGCCAGACTCTTTTCAGTGGTGCTCAGAGACAGAATGAGGAGCAACAGCCATAAACTAAACCACAAGAAGTCCAACCTCAACATGTGGAAGAACTTCTTTACACTGATGGTGGCAGAGCACTGGAACAGGCTGTTCAAGGAAGCATGAAGACATTCCAAACCCACCTGGACATATTCCTGTATCACCTGCTCTAGGTGACCCTGCCTTGGCAAGGGGTTGGGACTGGATGGTATCCAGAGGTCTCTACCAACATCAACTGTTCTGAGATTCCATAAGATATCATTAGCTGCTACCTTAGCACCTTACTAAAATTCACATCATTTTAAGAACACAATGCAACATACTCAACCCTCCACTATCACTCCCCAACTACTTCACCATCAGACCATTTTGTTCAACTTTTGAAGAGCTACTAATTCAAGGAGACTGTTGCCAGGTTTAAGTGAGAAGTAATTTTCCTACTTTCCATTATGGGTGAAAATAATTTAAACCACCTCCCTGTCATGACAGCCAGACTATTACCCACTTTTAAGGTTTAACAAAGTCCAGAATAACTGAACAGTAGCCCCTGTGACCTACTTGCAAGGGACCTCTCCCTGAAAGTGGGCAGAATAAAGACCTATCTGATTTCAGGCATTAGCAATGCAAAATGCAAGATAACCAATATGTTATGTTTAACTTTATTAACACATACGTCCAACAATCTCATTTCTCCTTAGTCTGACTGCTGTAAAAGCCTTTCTTCCACTGCTGCCACACAAGACCTCCACTATGCCTAGGCCACACTGTGCTAAGCATCACAGCTTGATAATGAAACCCCTTGTTACTGTTATGAGACACCCTCAGGTGAAACATCCAGCAGGTCTAAGTTCTCATTTGTCTTTTCATACCAAAAATCCCTGATATCCACCTGCAACTTTAAACAAAACAAAAAGGCAACTCACTCTACACCTGAAGTTTTGAAGTCCAACTCTATATTGTGTTTGCTCAAGTATGAAAAACCTCAAATTTGGCAGAGGTAACCAGCAGCCATCTACAGGCGTCAAAAGTCACTCATAATTACCATCATCATAAGTTTTATATTTAAAATCTATGGCAAACCATTTGCTTCCTGACATCGCTCCAATAAACCTCTGGCACAAAATATCCTGCAACAGCCAAGCTGTTTCTTCAAACAGGTTTCCTTTAATCTTTCATATCCAAGTACCAACAATCTCATCCAAATCTAAGCAGATAAACTGTCACTTAAGACACGACTAAAAGCTCCTCTTTATTCTCTCTGGGGAAAAAAAAATCTCACTTTAAGAGCAGTTGTTTTCATACAGAAACAACTGGAGCTAAAATAAAACAAAACAAAACAAACCCCAAAAAAAACCAAACAAAAAAAACCCACAAAAAAACCAAGTCCATCAGATACCACAAGTCCATCAGATACCCAGCCTTCTTCTGTGCAACCTATTACCTGGTGTCTGAAAAGAAACTTAACCTCAAAAAAAAAAAAAAAAAAAAATCATGCCAGGGTATGTCAAACATGCTACACCAACTTCACTATTCCCAGATCGCCACCCGATCCAATCCCTTTATTAAGCCAGTTTTTGTAGTCTGTTTCATGCATCGAATAGCCCACTGGCATACTGGTATTCAAGGGTGTTTACCCCCTCAGCCCAATGTCATACAGGGGGTAACACTGTCTCACAACCAGGAAATCTCATATAACAAATGATTCAAACTTACTGGAAGTGTTGATGGGCATAAGGCACAAAATAGTAACTTTTCTTTAGTTCATAACACTTCATTTCTGTACAGAATGCCAATGTGCTTTTGATTGTGTTTTCTATTTTTTGTGTCTGCTCAGCCCAACTGGTACACAGGACTCAACATTTTGAACAAAATAAAGCTATTTAAACACTGACAGTTATAAACAATCTCAAACAGATGGTCATTTCTCCTCTGAGCTTAAGACTTCAGAGAATGAGTCATGAAAGCTTAGATGTGCTCACTGGACCCGTTTTCCTGAAGCTGTAAGTCTAAGTAGACTTATTCAGAAAGAATACCCTAACACAGGTTCAACCCATCTTCTACTTTTCATCAGCACTTTCTACTATGGAAATAGATACCAGACAATTGGTGTTTCTTTTATGCAAATGAAAAAGCTATTTCAAACAAAACCTGTGAAAGCACAGGTTAGGAGTTCCTATCTGTGCCACAAAAACTAAGCTGGTCATCTCCAGGAGACCACAGGACCATCATGTGTAATTCTCATGTAATTCCCATGTGTTACTTGGGAAGACAAAAGCTGTAACTGCAAACATTCTCCCCTTCACACAGCTTTATATACTAAGCAGGTTATCGTATGGTTTGGAATATCCCTTTGGTCAGTTTGGGTCAACTGTCCTGGTGATACCTCCACCCCCAACCTGCTCGCTAGTGTGGCTTTACTTGTGTTCAGCGCAAGTACAAAGGTACTTTGCAATAAAGTATGGCTCCACACTAGCCACCATGAAGAAAATTAACTCTACCCCAGACAAAACCAGCACACTATCACACAGTAATAGCTCAGAATTTATGGTATTTTCTACAAAGCCTACCCAGAAATATAAAGATACTTCTAATCATCAGGCTTTTGGTGTCCCGTACCATTTTCTTCCACTCATCTCTCAATTGCTAAACTTGTCAAAATAGAGTGGGATGATATCCAGAGGGACCTGGGCAAGGTCGTGAAGTGGGAATCTCATGAGATTTAACAATACCAAGGTACAAGACCAACTACAAGGTGCTGCATCTGGGTCACAGCAAGTCCATGTATCAAGACAGGCTGGGGAATGAACAAATCAAGAGCAGCCCTGTGAGAAAGATTTGGGGGTGCTGGTGGATGAGAGGCTAGACATGACCCAGCCATGAGCACTCACAGGCCAAACATGCCAAACGCGTCCTGGGCTGCAGACAAAGCAGTGTGGCCAGCAGAGAAGGGAGGGGATTCTGCCCCTCTCCTCCGCTCTGGTGTGACCCCACCTGGAACCCTATATCCAGCTCTGGGGTCCCAGCAAAGGAAGGACATAGACCTGTCGGAATGAGTTCAGATGAGGTCACACAGTTTGTCAGAGGAATGGAGGAAGGACCTCTCCTACAAAGACTAGGAGAACTGGGACTACTCAGCCCGAAGAAGAGAAGGCTTTGGTGTGATCTAACTGCAGCTTTCCAGTACTTAGAAGCCTACTATAAAGACGGAGAGGGACTTTTTGCAAGGGCAAGTAGTGACAAGACTAGTAAATAGCTTCAAACTGACAGAGTAGGTTTAGATTAGATATTAGGAGGAAAACCATTACAGTGAGGGTGGTGAGGCACTGGAATAGGTTGCCTGGAGTTGTGAATGCCCCATCCCTGGATGCGCTCAAGGCCAGGCTAGATGAAGCTCTGAACAACTTGGTATAGTGGTAAGTGTCCCTGCACATGACAGGGGGGTTATATCAATGTGATCTTTAAGTACATTCCAACTCAAACCATTTTATGATTTTTACAGGGGTGATTTTGACAAGTACTACAAAATCTTCTTGCTGAGCTCAAAGACTTGTGGAAGTTTATTTCTAGTCTCATCAGTAGCATTTTTGTCTTTAATTTAGAATTAATTTAGGATGATAAAATGCTTGAGTTTGTCAAAAATAGGAGTGATACTAGACCACTGGCTCAGAAAAGATACCTAGCTATTTCTGTAACAAGAAAACTACTTGTGCCTTTAGCATTATCTGTACTTTTTACCAATACATCTGTTCACAGACAGAAAGCCATAATATAACATCCTCAATGTCAAACACGACTAGAAAAGGTAAATGCCAGCATGCAGACAAATTTTCAAGCAATAGTCAAAATCAGGACTTCTTCCATTGAGCTGTTAAATAAACTCTAACTTATGAAAAGAAATAGTCATCTCTCTACAGAAGAACCACCTAGTATTTCAGGCTCCACTACAATTTGAGCAGTCTTGCATGCAGAGTGGAACTCCAAGGATTATGTTAGCAGTAAAGCCTGAACCCAGTGGAAATGAGCTTCTCTAACAAGCTTATGCAGATAGAAGATCTTTTAGCCCCAAAAGATTTTCAGTCAAAGGCTGCAAAAATGATGAGAAGATAGCTTAGCAAAAATGTTCCCCGAGATTTAGCAATAGCTTCTATTGTATCAGACAACAAGCCTAGTACAAATTTACTCAGCTATCAATTGTCTCCAGTCTTCACCATTTTAGTAGAAAATGTTGCTGATGACAACACACTTTACTTGTCCTCTGAACCACAGAAGCTGGCTTTTTTGCCCTCTGGCTAGACAACTGTTTAGGTAGTGCAAGGTTTTTCCACTAAAGATTTGAGATCAAAATCAAGCTCTAGACGTATTTGATGGTTATTTGCTTCCTGACAAGGTCAAAAATAACTTCATGTAGACAAACCAGACACATATTTTAGGGAAGTTCTCACAACAAGAACTTAGCTGGTACTGCACATCCAAAGCTTTTTCAAAACCAGACTTCTAGTAAGTATTGCATCCTTGTCACTCACTCACAATATGGAAAGTAGATTACAAATAAAACACCCATTTAAAAAAAGTACCCAACCATGCACTCTATATCACATTAAGTCTCCAACTATACAACTACAGCCTAATGTCTGACAGAAGAAACTGAGTAAATACTTAGGGTGCAACACTACTTGCATACCCAAGTTGCATCTTTAAACACAAGGATGTTAACTGCTCTTAGATAAGATGGAACGAATATTAACTTTTTGTCAGAAGTGTGAAAAGCAAAACTAAAATCAGCCAGTCACACAAACTCTTAAAAATCAAGCATCTATATCTTAATACAGAGGGATGAAAAATAATTCTCTGTGTTTTTTTTTAACTGCTAGTAAGCTGATTGATTACACAATGTGTACTTTAAAACTGCTGAAGTTAATACAACTTACCAGCATTGCTAGAGACATGTCAACTTTAGAAAGCTGTCTGGAAAAAGCAAGGCAGAAGAAAGATTACAAAATGTGGGCCTCCTGCTGAATGGGGCAGAGACATGGTGACAACAGACGTGGAAGAAGCTGAGTTTGTCTACCTTTAGCTTTGATCTTTACTGATAAGACCAATATAAATACCAGATGAAGGGGAGTAAAGAAGGTTAAGACACTCTTTTTAGAGGTATCCAGTGTTAGGACAACGTATGTTTAAACATATGAGAACTTATTGCCACTGCTCCTACCACTGACAAGCGCAGAAGAACGCCCACAGACAACACAGACCCTCTGGGCAAAGCAGGAGGCATCCAAAACCCAACTGGACATTTACCCTGCTTTAAACTAAGGATTGAACTAGAGTATCTCCTGAAGTGCCTGCCAATCTAAATAATTTCAGTTATTAATATCAATTAAGTACCTTTGATAGCTTTTAATATATTAAAAAAGCTAAAGTATGCAGTAGAGGGCTATTAAGCACTAGCATCAGCTCCAGTCAATGAAAACAGCATTGAACACAAGAAGTGTACATCACATCTGTGTCTTTCTGTTTTCCTACAACTAAAGAAAGATATTTTCAGAAGTTTCCATGTCATACTATTATTTCACCTGTAATTACAAACAGCGTTCACTTATACTGTATTTCATTAACATTCAAAAGCATTTGCAGGTACAGGAATACATTATGGTACACCTACACATCAGCTTTCACCTTCCACAAATATGTCAATAGCAATACTGCTTAGCAAGCAAGATAAGGCAATGAGAAAAAGCAGAAGAGAGCCTTAAGGAATACTCAAGATCTTATTTCTCAGACCAAAAGTACTTTTAGTAATTTTTTTGGTTTAGTGATTTTTATTTTTAGCCAAGTTTCCAACTAGCATTGTGATATAATCCACATGAATGTTGGGATAAAAAGGTAATATATCATACATGCATCCTGTTGATACCTTTAAAACGACCCTTAGAGAAGGCACCAACAGTAAAACAGAGGATATACTTGTGCTACACCATTAACCAGCATAAATGGAGAAAGAATTAACGAACACAAGGCTCCAGAAAAACTACCTGGCAAACCAGCATTCAACTTCTAAAATCAGCTCAATACTGGTGTTTATGAACTCATTATATTGAAACTATCTACACAGTTTTCCACTTAACATGCAATTCCATTCTTCCATTTATCAGATTAAATACATTCTAGAACATGGACCAGAACAACAGAATTCTCAAGAGTACATAAAACATTCCACTTATGCTCAGAAGAATACCTGATTTTTTCCTAAAAAGTCCCTTTCCCCTCAAGCTTATCAATCTGCCGCTGTTACCAGCATAAATAGGAAAGCAAATGCTAGACCTGTGTCAAGACAACATTTCTTTCAAAAGAGTAAGGAAATTAATGCAAATAATGAATTACCAGATTTAGCAAGGAAGCTTGGAAAATAAAGCTTTATGCTTCAAAATTTTTGATAAAGATTCAACTCCTTGAATATTGAGTTGGTGCATCTCCCCACTTTTTTTCTGACATTTCTACTGCAGTCTACCTCCTCAAGGCTGTTTGTGACAGCTTCTTTATCAACCACAGACAGACAAGATGTGACATGCCTTTACAGGGGCTTCAGAATTAAATTCTTCAATGCTAAGGAACAGCTGTATGCAAGCTATAAAAAGAAGGGTAAACACACACGGGAATGAACTGAAGCAGAGGGAAACTGCCTGAAACAGCAACTGTTGCATGATCCATTGAGCAAGTTCATCACCACTGCCCCAGCTTTCCAGGATTTTCCCCCTGCACACATCAGAACTTGCCTATGTAATTCTTCATCAGAGTCTCCACACACATCTCCTGAAAGCACTGTTTTACAGCTCTGTTGTACTGAAGTAATTCCATGGTCACCATGCCCATCTACTTAATCCTTTATTGCCTGGAGCACCTGCTAGCACACTTGTGTTTTTCCATTACAGCCACCTCTTCAGTGCTGGAGCTACCAAGCACTTCTGACTTGATTTGCCTGTCGACTGTGGTTTTGCTTCAATTCACCACCCTCCATCTTGATGGATGCCACAATGAGAAATTTTAAAACATTGCTGCAAAATGATAAAGATGAAAAAGACTGGATAACAGTCCAGTAATACCACTCAAGTCAGACATCTTCTAATTACTTCTAGCTTAAATCTACAACCTGACTTTCACAAAATACCTATGCCAAAACACAGATATGTCTATTTATAGACCCATACCAAGAAGCAAATAATTAAAATTGAACAAATCAAACACTGTGCTTAATTCTGCTGGTAATTCAATGCACTTTTATTTTTCACATAGTATATGGTTTTGCAATGTCACACACATTGTTCTTCAAACATCGTTGTGCACAAAGTAGAAACAGTCATGCAACATAACCAGAGGTTCTGGCTTTTGCAGCCTTACCAGCATTTTGTTGGCTTAGTAAATGTTGGAGGAGGAGAAACAACACACACTAGAAGGAGCCACAACTATTTGCAAGAGGCCACCTCTGCTTCTGGGAGGTCCACAAGCAGGTCAGGCACACAAAAGAACACAATCACTGATGCATATTCCATTTCTTCATTCATCTTGTATTAATTCCGCAGAAGATATATATGAAATAATGAAGATAACTGACATCTTAACATGAACAACAGTAGCTTATTGCTACTGAAGTGAGGCGTATGCAACTGCAGTATCAATAATCTCATTAGTAAAAGGCCCCACAGCTAACACAGCCACCTGAAGTCCTCACAGGTCCCATTTTCAACTCCAAATTAAGACAGCATGGCATATAAGTTGGACCAAAAAAAAAAAAACACCTGCTACTTGCTACTCACAAATAAGAGTGGGAAACATGAGAGTGGCGAAATCCAAGGGTCACCTACAACCCATGTTAACACAATGCACTTTGAGCCCAAGTATGTGTGATATGGAAAA